CAAGGGTTTTAAGAAGGTTCAGCCGGCTGTGACAAGTTGCCTTCAGAGAGGTAATGTGAGGTTTCCAGGATAACCTATGATCAAAGAGGAGGCCCAGAAACTTAACTGTATCACGTTCAGGGATACAGGAGCCATAGAGGTACAAAGGATGATCGGAGATGACAGAGCGTCTAGTGAAAGTAATTTGGTGGGTTTTAGTGCTGGAAAATTTAAACCCACGGCCCAACTGGAAACACGGTCGACTGCATGCTGGAGAGAAACTGTAATAAGGTGACAGTCAGCGCCTGCACAGGCAATAGCGAAGTCATCAACATAGAGTGATGACCAAATATTTGATGGAAGACTAGAGGCCAAATCATTAATAGCAAGGAGAAAAAGTGTTGTGCTCAGAACACATCCCTGGGGGACACCTTCAGCTTGGATAAAGTCCGGGGAGAGCACATTATTAACCCGAACATGGAAATGCATGTCAGTTAAAAAGTTCTTAAGGAAGGATGGTAGATTGCCTCGAAGGCCTAAGGAGTGGGCTTGGGCTAAAATATTATACCTCCAAGTAGTGTCATATGCCTTCTCAAGGTCAAAAAATATGGCAATAACTGAGTGGTTATTCGCAAAGGCATTACGAACATACGTATCCAAGCGTAGTAAGGGGTCTATGGTAGAACGTCCCTTACGAAAGCCATATTGACGAGTGGAGAGACTGTTGTGTCTCTCTAAATACCACACTAAACGTCTATTTACTAGGCGTTCCATCACTTTGCAAACTGCACTGGTAAGAGCAATGGGACGATAGTGGGAGGTTTCATGTCCCGTAGTGCCTGGTTTGCGGAAAGGGAGAACAATGGCGGATTTCCACAGCTGTGGAAGAACTCCTTGTGACCAAATAAGATTGTAAAGGCGTAATAGGACTGCAAGGGCTGACTGATGTAAATGTTGTAGCATACGAATATGAATGTCGTCAGGCCAGGCTGCCGATGATCGGCAAGCTGAGAGTGTTGCCTCCAGTTCTTGAAGAGTAAAAGGCACATTATACTGTTCTTCTCCGAGAGAAGAAAAGTCCAAGGGTGCTAACTCTCTGGCAGACTTTGAGGAAAGAAATGAGGGGCATAGATGGAGTCCCTGAGAAATACGGACCAGATGATTGCCAATTTCATTGGCAACATCTAGTGGGTTTGCTATATCAACACCGGCAACCCGCAGAACAGGAGCCGGGTCAGGAGAATATTTACCACTCAGTTTTCATACTTTTTTCCAGACTGCGCTCATAGAGGAAGCAGAAGTGATGGTGGAGACATAATCTCGCCAGCAAGTGCGTTTAGCGTCACGGATAACACGGCGAGCGATCGCACGCTCTGCTTAAAATCAAGAAGTCTCTCTGTGGTTCTATTGTACCGGTACCTGCCCCATGCAGCGTTTCAAACGTACTGCACATGCAGGAGACCACCAAGGCACGCATTTCTGAGAATGCCTGCCCGAAGTTTGGGGTATAGAATGAGAAGCTGCCGTTAAAACGGAGGACGAGAAGAGGTGTAAAAGCTCATCGATGGAGGACGAAGAAGGAACCTCTCTAAAAACAGTTAGGTGTGAGTAAAGGTTCCAATTTGCCTGATCAAATTGCCAGCGTGGGATGCGAAGAGGTGGTGAATATGAAGGGGAAGTAAGAATGATTGGGAAATGATCGCTGTCATGTAAGTCCGGAAGAACAGACCAAGTGAAGTCTAATGCGGCGGAGGAAGAGCAGACTGAGAGATCGATGCAAGAGAGAGTGTGAGTCCGAGGATCAAAATGGATGCGAGTACCTGTATTTAAAACATGGAGGGGGTGGGTGGCAAGAAAAGCCTCTAACTGAATGCCACTGGAATCACAGTGAGACCCCCCCCCCCCAGAGGAAATGGTGGGCATTAAAATCACCAAGTAACAGAATCGGTGGTGGTAATGACGAAACAAGAAAGGCAATATCCGGAATAGATAATGCCCGAGAAGGAGAGAGATATAAAGAACAGAGCATATACCACCTATGCAAGTGGATACGGGCTGCTGTGTAATAGCTGATGGTACGGAATATCAGTGCATAGAAGAAGGGCACTTTCATTAAAGGTCCCATCAGGAAAAGGATCTGAAGAATACAATAAATTATAGCCTGAGATGGGAGAGATAACAGCAGAGTGTAATTTTGGTTCCTGTAAGCAAACACCAACAGGGGAAAACTGGGAGAGTAACATCTGAAGCTCACCCCGATTACCCCTGAGGCAGCGTATATTCCACTGTAAATAGGCCATGATTGGCAATGATAAAGATACCTGAAATCCGCAGGTAAGGGTTCCTACGGACTAGAGGGGTTAGAAAAGTCCACATGCGGAGGCAGTGGAAAACATTCAAGCAGCGAAGGAACGGTGCGCTGTGAAGAAAGGAGTTGCACAGATGGAGTAGAGGAGAGAGAAGGAGCGGAGGGTGGATCAGTGTCCATTGATGGTTTGGTCTCTGCAATATATTCAGAGATTGCTTCAAGTGTTTCAGAATTCAGAGACGTCGTATGGGAGACAATATTGGAAATGGTAGGGGGAAGATGAGTAAAGATTGGAACTGTAATGGACTGTACCAAGGTAGGGGGGGGGGCGAAAGGGTGGAGGGAACTGGAGAAGCGTGGAAGGGGACAGAAGAGGCAGAAACCTGGGAGGTGGCAGAAGAGGAAGAAACTTGGGAGGGAACAGGGGAGGAAGGTACAGTACGAGGAGGAGGGTGAACCTCTACACTTGTAACAGAGCCAGTGAGAGGGGGAGAACCAGGTACAGAGACAGGGAAGGGAAAATGAGGAGGTGGAAAATGGGTAGGAGGTGTTAACGGACCTTTTTTTTACTTTTGAGAAGTAGAGGGACGATTGGGAGGAGGTGTCATACGAGATCTCGTCGCTACTGAGGCTTGTGAGAGAGAACACGAAGAAGCGAGATCAGACTGAGGCATTGAAGTAGGGATGTCTGAGCCGAGGAGCAAAAGAATTAGCTACAGGAGTGACTATGGAAGAGGTAACCACAGAGGTGGGTGCAGAAGATGGGATACCAGAAGTGAGGGGACGTTTTGAAACACGGGAATAAGAAACACGAGGTAGTCTCCCTTGGAGGCAGAGATGAGAAACTGCCATGGCATAAGGGAGACCTTCTGCCTCTTTGAGGTAACAGATTTCCCGCTCGTTTAAGTAGACTTGACAACGGCAAGAGTACGAAGGGTGAGCCTCATGACAATTAAGGTAAGAGGGAGGTCGATTGCAAGACGTATTAGAATGCTCATCGGCACCACAGACTGGGCATTCGGCGATAGATCTGCAATATTTTGCTGGATGGCCAAATCGCCAGCAATTTCTACACTGTTGCGGTGTAGGGATCACCTTTCGAACTTGTAACCGATGTCCTGCTACATAAACTGAGGATGGGAGTTCACGGCTGTCAAAAGTTTAAACGGCCACATTGCTAGGGTATCGTCTCCGCCCGAGGGCAGGAAGAACCTAAGTGTCTACCTTGAGGATTGGGAGATCTTGGAGTTCCAGCTGTTCAAGAATGTCAGTGCCACATGTCTGGAAATTTTGTTGAACTATGGTATGGGGCAGAATGACGGTACCACTACAAGAATTGAGGAATGATGCTTTTCAATAGTTACAGGAACAGTATCGATATGGGAAAGACGAGAAAGCTCATGAGCCTGGGTAGCATTCTGTACGGTGACAATGCGCGTACCGCTCTTAAGAGCATGAAAAGAAATATCTTTACCAACATGGCGTAGAGTGCCTTGTCAATACTGTGGTCAGAAAGATAGGCAGTAGAGGAAGTCGGTCGTAAAGTGAAGAATTTAGTCCATTGTGCAGTCTGAAACTGAGCGTGGAAAGGTAGTGAAGGATGTGTCGATCTTTTCTGAGAAGAACGAGAAGGTGGAGAAGTATCATCAGCAGGTAACTGTCGTTGGCGTTGAACCAGAGTTGGTCCGACGTGGAACGGGCCGGCAATTCAAAAATTGCCGCACCGTAGAGGGAGAGGCTGGAAGCATAGTCAGAGGAGAGCAAAGGTCAGATAAATCGAAGGAGTCAGTCGAGGCCTCAGTACCTGAAGCGGGTGAGGAAACAGCACCGGCAAGAGGTACAGAGGCATGAGGAGTGTCCGAAGAGTGGTCCAAAGACGAGGCGGGGTCAGAACGGGGTGCGGTATCAAGAAGGGGCCTGGGGGTAGAAGGTTCGTGGACTAGGGCTGCCATGGTTAGGTTACTTCTTTCTTTTTGTTTTTAAGAAAAAAAAAAGAAAGAAGAAAATAAAAATAAAAAGAAAAAAAGAAAAAAAGGGGGGACCGGGGAGGGATAGTTCCTAGGAGGAATGAAAGGGCCAGAAATCTCCCTCCGCGCCCAAGAGGACCTCAGCACCGCAAGTAGCGCAGATGCAGCATGGAACCCGTGCCATACCCTACCCATCATGCCAGTAAACCGGCAATCCGGGATAGCAACCTCACATCTGCCGAGCTACCTCGGTGGACAAAAGAGAGGGCGGCCGGAAATCCGCCACAAAGCATACCTCCTTCGGCCACCACCCCCGGAATCCGAAAGGTGGCTTCCAGAGATACACCCGTCGCCCGAGAGACACCCAAAGCCACCCTCCGGGATACCGGAGAGGGATCAGGACATCCCCAGGCAATCCAGATTCCAAGGCAAACTACGCCACCACCAAGAACCTCAACGGAATGGGATGGACCCCGGTACCATTTCCCCTACCTAGGAACTAGCGTGCCTGTGGAAAAAAAAAAAAAAAGGAAGGGCAAAAGGGAGGGGTGGGGAGGAGGAGGAGGAAAGGAAAAAGGGGAGGATGGGATAGGGAACGGGGGATTGGGGGGTAATTAGGTTCGGTCTGAGGAAGTAGACCGACAGGTCTAATTCCTCAGACCAAGAGCCTCTTCACCACGCCAAGGAGCCCCCCTTGAAGAGGATACAAATGTGCAATCAATGCAATCAGATAATTAACACTTTCTCCATGGGGAAGTAGAACAGAATTCTACCTCCATAAGCCATGAGTGTTGTAAGAGACTAAAATGATGGGAGCAAAGGGCTAGTAAGTACTATTCCTGTATACAATACTAAATTTGTAAAGAAATTTTCTTTTAGGTCACCCTGCCTCAGTGGAATATGGCCGGTTTGATAAAAAAAAAATGGTAAACAAGCCAATTACAACATTCCTGGCAGAAGATTCACAAATGTGGTGTTTCACAATCAAGCTCAGTGTGGTCTACACTACTGAGTATGGTGCATCTCGTGTCATTCAGGTACATCTTCCGACTAACTACACTTCTATCCTACAGCTACATTATCATACAACCACAACATACAACTATCTTGCAACCACCATATTTCTCTATTACACATCAGTAAGTTTTTTTTTAGGCATGCACCACACGAGCCTGACCCATGGCCGAGCTCAGAGTAGATTAACTCTCGAAACTCTTCAAAGGTATATCAAAGGTACCAACAAGATCACTTAATGTTCTTGGCAATAAAAATTAAATACAACCATACACGAGAACATCCCAAGAAAAGTTATTCAGAAAAAAAAAAATCTTTGCACAAACCCAGAATAACATGAGAAACATGAACTTATCCCTCAACATATTACAGTGAAACAAATTATGTTGAAATTTTAAATACAGGGAGTTAAAGAATATATATACCATAGAATGAAATGACAATTACTATTATTACATTTATGGGGCAAGCAATAGAACTGTAAAATCATGTAGCACTAAGAGGACTGGGAAGCAATAAGACATGCCAGACAAACCTGGCCCAGGGCCAGGTTGTGGCAGCAGGAAACATTTCCAAACCCTATAAAGGTATCAAAGGTTTGATCCAAGAAAGAGGTGGTCAGGCCCAATTCCTTTGAGCAAGATCTCTACAGGCATCGAAGAGCCTCCCTTAAGGTGATAAACTTTTAAGAGTGATGGTCAAGTAGAAACCAATCACGTTAAGTTTCTACTTGGAATGATAAATTACTTTTGAGATGTTACATCAATAGTATTGTGATGTGTACTGATAATTAAAATATAAGTGAAATACTACATGGGCAATTGGAGAAGAATCCTTTCTCCGTAAGCTATGCATGTCATAAGAGGTGAATAAAATGCCGGGAGCAAGGGGCTGGTAACCCCTTCTCCTGTACAAATTATTACAAGTAAAAATAAAGAAGTATTTCTTTTTCAGGTCACTTGCTATTACAAACAGGTAAGAATGACTTGTGACCTGGTCATAATGGGTTTTGTAGCAAAAACTCAGCAGATAGACTAACTTGTATTTCCTTCACCAGATATGTACATGTACACTCATGTACAGAGACTGAATAGTAAGTGTACCAAACGATTGTGACAATGGCAAAAGCAAAAGCCAGAGAGAGCACTGTACTCAACCAGCTGGTAGGCAAGTCTGGAAAATGCTGACCATGAGTGAACCACATTGCCTCAGCACTTGGCAGGCACGCCTGTGACCAGACAATGAACCAAGGAACTGATTTAACGATGGGTACCCTAATTATCATTAAACCCTTAGCACCCAGTTCACTGGTTGGGAGGCAGCCTACATAGGTGTGTACACACATCCCAAATAAATTTTATATATTCTTTTTGCATGCCAATCCTGCCTTGATGGGAGATAGCTGTTGTAATAAAAAAGTGATAACTTCAGATTAAAGAAACCTGATTTAATGCATTTGACTGCCCAATGAAACCATAACTTACTAGAACACCGAAGAGTTCTTTATCACTTATATAAAATGTCGTGCACCAATGGATAAAGTTTCTAGTAACATACTCTTGTAAACTCGGATCTTGCAAGACTGTCACCAGTATAGTTCCATGCTTAATTTTCTCATAAAAGAAAAAAAAATTTAATCTCAGCTACACACCACGTTGGCATCTTCACAGTTTGAGTTCCCCGACAGTCTGTTGCAATTCACACATTTTCTTCCGCAGTCTCTGGTGGTGGTTCTCTCTCTGTGGAAAGAAACCCAAAGCGAGATTTTAAAAACAATACATTTGAGGGGTGAAAATATTTGCAGTCTGGAGCATATACACTATAGTATCGGTAAGTCTTCAGGAAGACAGTGTGAGTGACGGTGAAAGTTTTTTTTTTTTTTTTTTTTTTTTGGTCACCCTGCCTTGGTGGGAAAGAAAAAATTATACTAAAACAAAATTTTAAGCAGTCTTGCTATAAGTGCACAGACATCACATTTCAAATGACCCTCTTCACTGGAACATTCTGATCCCTCTCCTAGAGTGAAGGCAGTGTACTTCCCACCTCCAAGACTCAAAGTCCAGCTTACCAGATTTTCTGAATACCTTCATATATGTTACCTTTGTGATGTGCAGTTGGAATGTGAGTGAAGAAACATTTATGAAGGAATTTTGAGAAACCAGTAGCCAGACTTGTCCTGGAGATGAGAAGTAGAGTGCCTGTCCTTTGAAGAAGAGGTGGATGATGTTGCAGTTCTGTAGGCAAGATGTACAGTGCCTGCATTCTGTAGCAGTGGGGATACTGCAGTCCTGTAGATATGTATAGAGCCTGCACCCTGAAGAAGTGGAGATGTACCAGCCTTGAAGAAGGAAGCTACAGGACCTGAACTCCGTAGGAGTCAGGATGTTGCAGTGCCTGCACTCTGAAGTTGTAGGGAAAATGCAGTCCTGGAGGAGGGCAGTATAGTGTCTGCACTCTGGAAGGTACGGAAGTAAATTCTTGGGTAGGGGTGGTTCTGATAAGAACCTGCCTTGTATGGGTCAGTAGGCCTTCTGCAGTGTTCCTCCATTCTTATGATTCCGTTCAGGATCAGCTGAACTGTGACGTTTTGTCAGAAGACCACAGACAAACTGAAGCAGTAATAATATATGTATGTATGTGTGTGTGTGTGTGTGTGTGTGTGTGTGTGTGTGTGTGTGTGTGTGTGTGTGTGTGTGTGTGTGTGTGTGTCTACGTACTCACCTAGTTGAGGTTACAGGGGTCGAGTCCGAGCTCCTGGCCCCCGCCTCTTCACTGATTGCTACTAGGTCACTCTCCCTGAACTGTGAGCTTTATCATACCTCTGCTTAAAGCTATGTATGGATCCTGCCTCCACTACATCGCTTCCCAAAATATTCCACTTACTGACTACTCTGTGGCTGAAGAAATACTTCCTAACATCCCTGTGATTCATCTGTGTCTTCAACTTCCAACTGTGTCCCCTTGTTACTGTGTCCAATCTCTGGAACATCCTGTCTTTGTCCACCTTGTCAATTCCTCTCAGTATTTTGTATGTCGTTATCATGTCCCCCCTATCTCTCCTGTCCTCCAGTGTCGTCAGGTTGATATCCCTTAACCTCTCCTAGTAGGACATACCTCTTAGCTCTGGGACTAGTCTTGTTGCAAACCTTTGCACTTTCTCTAGTTTCTTTACGTGCTTGGCTAGGTGTGGGTTCCAAACTGGTGCCGCATACTCCAATATGGGCCTAACGTACACGGTGTACAGGGTCCTGAACGATTCCTTATTAAGATGTCGGAATGCTGTTCTGAGGTTTGCTAGGCGCCCATATGCTGCAGCAGTTATTTGGTTGATGTGTGCTTCAGGAGATGTGCCTGGTGTTATACTCACCCCAAGATCTTTTTCCTTGAGTGAGGTTTGTAGTCTCTGGCCCCCTAGACTGTACTCCGTCTGCGTTCTTCTTTGCCCTTCCCCAATCTTCGTGACTTTGCACTTGGTGGGATTGAACTCCAGGAGCCAATTGCTGGACCAGGTCTGCAGCCTATCCAGATCCCTTTGTAGTTCTGCCTGGTCTTCGATCGAGTGAATTCTTCTCATCAACTTCACGTCATCTGCAAACAGGGACACCTCAGAGTCTATTCCTTCCGTCATGTCGTTCACAAATACCAGAAACAACACTGGTCCTAGGACTGACCCCTGTGGGACCCCGCTGGTCACAGGTGCCCACTCTGACACCTCGCCACGTACCATTACTCGCTGCTGTCTTCCTGACAAGTACTCCCTGATCCATTGTAGTGCCTTCCCTGTTATCCCTGCTTGGTCCTCCAGTTTTTGCACTAATCTCTTGTGTGGAACTGTGTCAAACGCCTTCTTGCAGTACAAGAAAATGCAATCCACCCACCCCTCTCTCTCTTGTCTTACTGCTGTCACCATGCCATAGAACCCCAGTAGGTTTGTGACACAGGAATTCCCGTCCCTGAAACCATGTTGGCTGCTGTTGATGAGATCATTCCTTTCTAGGTGTTCCACCACTCTTCTGACAATCTTCTCCATGACTTTGCATACTATACAAGTCAGTGACACTGGTCTGTAGTTTAGTGCTTCATGTCTGTCTCCTTTTTTAAAGATTGGGACTACATTTGCTGTCTTCCATGCCTCAGGCAATCTCCCTGTTTCGATAGATGTATTGAATATTGTTGTTAGGGGTACACACAGTGCCTCTGCTCCCTCTCTCAGGACCCATGGAGAGATGTTATCTGGCCCCATTGCCTTTGAGATATCTAGCTCACTCAGAAGCCTCTTCACTTCTTCCTCGGTTGTGTGTACTGTGTCCAGCACCTTTTGGTGTGCCCCACCTCTCCGTCTTTCTGGAGCCCCTTCTGTCTCCTCTGTGAACACTTCTTTGAATCTCTTGAGTTCCTCACATACTTCACGGTCATTTCTTGTTGTCTCTCCTCCTTCCATCCTTAGCCTGATTACCTGGTCCTTGACTGTTGTTTTCCTCCTGATGTGGCTGTATAACAGCTTTGGGTCAGATTTGGCTTTCGCTGCTATGTCGTTTTCATATTGTCGTTGGGCCTCCCTTCTTATCTGTGCATATTCGTTTCTGGCTCTTTGACTGCTCTCCTTATTCTCCTGGGTCCTTTGCCTTCTATATTTCTTCCATTCCCTAGCACACTTGGTTTTTGCCTCCTTGCACCTTTGGGTGAACCATGGGCTCATCCTGGCTTTTTCATTATTCCTGTTTCCTTTGGGTACAAACCTCTCCTCAGCCTCCTTGCACATTGTAGCTACACATTCCATCATCTCATTAACTGGCTTCCCTGCCAGTTCTCTGTCCCACTGAACCTCGTTCAGGAAGTTCCTCATTCCCGTGTAGTCCCCTTTCTTGTAGTTTGGTTTTATTTGTCCTGGCCTTCCTGCTTCCCCCTCCACTTGTAGCTCAACTCTGTATTCGAAGCTCAAAACCACATGATCGCTGGCCCCAAGGGGTCTTTCATATGTGATGTCCTCAATATCTGCACTACTCAAGGTGAATACTAAGTCCAGTCTTGCTGGTTCATCCTCTCCTCTCTCTCTTGTAGTGTCCCTTATGTGTTGGTACATGAAGTTTTTCAGTACCACCTCCATCATCTTAGCCCTCCATGTATCTTCCCCCCTCCCCGTGTGTGTATATGTGTGTGCGTGTGTCTGTGTCTCTCTCTGTCTGTGTGTGTGTGTGTGTGTGTGTGTGTGTGTGTGTGTGTGTGTGTGTCTGTGTGTGTGTCTGTGTGTCTGTGTGTGTGTGTGTCTGTGTGTGTCTGTGTGTGTGTGTGTGTGTGTGTGTGTGTGTGTGTGTGTGTGTGTGTGTGTGTGTGTGTGTGTGTGTGTGTGTGTGTGTGTGTGTGTGTGTGTGTGTGTGTGTGTGTGTGTGTGTGTGTGTGTGTGTGTGTGTGTGTGTGTGTGTGTGTGTGTGTGTGTGTGTGTGTGTGTGTGTGTGTCTCTCTGTCTCTCTGTGTGTGTATCTCTCTTTGTGTATCTCTCTCTCTCTGTGTATCTCTCTCTCTCTCTCTGTGTATCTCTCTCTCTCTCTGGGTAACCCTACCTTGGAGAGTATTAGTATCCCTGCAGGGCAGGGAAGGATGTAAGGGTAGCAAGAGGGAGAGGGATGATTAGTACATTATGGAGTACAGCAGGGCAGTGAATAGTGCAGGGGTAGAGGGTAGCAAGAGATCGAGGTAGAAAGGGCTGAGGGGAGTGCTAAAGGTATCAGTTTGTGGAGTAAATCAGTTGCTGTCCAAAAGGCAATGAGAGAGTCAGGATTAAAGGAGCGTCCATCAGCAAGAAGGGAAGGTAAAGAAAGGGCAGCAGAGTGGAGACGACGTTAGAGGTAAATTCTGCGTGCTCTTTGATAGAGTGGGCAGTCCAACAGAATGTGGCTAACAGATACTGGAGCCTGACAATTCTCACAGAGGAACATGGCGCCTCTCCATGAGATACCCATGAGTAAGACTAGTGTGGCTGATGCAAAGACGGGAGAGAGTAGTCTCCCAACCTCGACATTGATGACAAGACGGCAAGAAACCCATACCTGGTTTAATAGAATGAAGTTTGTTACAGAGCATATCAGATCAAAGTTGTTGCCAACAGGTGCAAAGGTGGGTAGCAATTACAGCAAAATAGTCCATGAATGGAACACCTATAAGAAACTAGGAGGTCGTGTACAGTTGACCGTGCATCAGTGTCTGCCTGTTCATTGCCCTGTACATGAACACAACCAGGAACCCAACAAAAAATATCTTTGTGCTTGGTAGAGATACGGCATAACCAAAGTGGGATATGGAGAATTAGGGGGCGAGGTGTATCAAATTTTCCTATAGCCTGTAAAGCACTAAGGGAGTCTGAAACAACCACACATGGTGACACAAGCATAGATTCAATACAGATAAATGCTGCAAGAATGACATACAATTCAGCTGTAAAAATGCTAGCCGAGGATAGTAAATGTCCTCACACGACACTGTCCGGAAACACTGCTGTGAATCCGACGCCCTCAGAAGTCTTGTGTACCTGTGTACACTGCGATGGCATGAGAATGAGAGCAGAAGTGGTTAAGAAAAAGAGCGAGAAGCTACCGTAGGCAGTTGGGCTTTTGCGCATGGCAGTGAGAAAGAACAGACACAAACAGCTTGAACTTCCCAAGGGGGTATGGGAAAGTGAGAGGATACATGATTAAAAATGGGAAAAGTAAGCAGGAACATGTAAAGGATAGATTATTATTATATTTGTATGAAGTGCTAAATGTTTGGTCAATTTGGTGCAGGAATTTTTTTTTATATTATTCTTACTAATTATTACAGGTAATAGGTTAGCAGATTAGGTAGCAAGTTGGTTGACAACCACCAACCACCCTGGGAGGTACTACTGTCCTGCCAAAAGTACAAAACAAACCTATCATTTTTCACTCTTATAGAATTGTCGGTCACTTTCTTTTAGGACAGATGTTAGGGGAATAAATCAATTCTATGCATATTGAAAGAATTAAGGCAAGCAGGACTGAAGAACAAGGAAGACTGAGGAAAGGTAGGGGATGTGCAAACCAAGTGTTTACACTGAAGCTTTCAAGTGACTAATACTTAGATAAAAGTAAGGTGCTTTTTTGTTGTTGCATTTATGGATTTAGAAATGACATAGGGTGATTTGGGAAGCAATATGGCAAATGCAAGGAATAAGTGGTAGGATACTAACAGCTCTAGAGATCTTTTGTGCAGATAGGGTATGTAGGAAAGAAGGCTATTTTCCAGCAAAAGTAGGACTCTGGATGGATGTGTGATGTCACCATTGTTATTTAACCCTTTCAGGGTCAAGAGGCCAAATTTCAAAGTGTGCACCAGTGTCCAAGAATTTTCAAAAAATAATTTTCTTATTTTTTCTTATGAAATGTTAGAGAATCTTTTTCTGAAGGTAATAAAACAAAAAGTACGAAATCTGGTGGAAAGCTGATGAAATTATGCTATCGCGAATTTTGATGTGTCAGCGATTTTGCAGACTGACTCCCATTTTAGGCCAATTACATTATTCCAGTCGACCAAATTCTTAGTTATTTCAGTAGTATTACTCCTATTCTATCGACTGAGCACAAGAAATTGCCAAATCAACTGTTTCAACTACAAAATAATGTGATTGGAAATTGGTAATTTGGCCAATGTAGTGCAAAGTTCAAAATATTCCAATTTCAAAATAGGGTCCAGAATAAACAATGCAGGCATTCCTGGCACTAAACTAACATTTCCTCTGTTCATTAGTTATGTTTTCAGGCTTTACAAATGAATTCCATTTTTATTTTTTATTTGCATAATGAATTTTTATTCAAACCAAAAAATAGAAGATTTACTGTTACACAATATTGTAATAATTGTATAAATAATATCAACACATTTGTGAATGTATATTAGACCCACCAGCTGGCGTGTATTAGACGTGTGAGGTCATTTGTTTACTCTTGAACATCGACAAAAATTTAACATTTTCACTACTTTGAGCTCAATTTCAAGCTATTTCCAATACTAAAACCAATCAAAATCATCTCTATTTCTGTAATATATCTTCCAATCTATCAAATGAGACCAAGAAATCGCAAATACAACCATAAAAAACATACAAAAAAACACTGCAAAGTCGCTGTTTTAATCGAAAATTATGGTCCAAGTTTATCTTCCCTCATTTTGCACTGTGTGCTGCAGGATTTGTTTTATGTGGTGCACACATACCATGTAGATGTATTCTCTCATATCTAGGCCCAAATTTAATTCTCACAGCTTATCAGTGAGAGCTGAGCTCATGGTGTAGATCTACGGTTTGGACCCTCAACGTAAAGCCGTAGGTCTTTGGCACGGACCCTGAAGGGGTTAACATTTATAGATGGGGTTGTAAAATAAGTGAATGCTAGGTGATTGGGAAGAGGTGCGATATTGAAAGAAATTCAATATAAAGCCAGAGTTGTCAAAGTAGCTCTGTAGATAACAATTCTTTTGAGAGAATGAAGAGACCTTGCAAAGGTTGGTGTATGAATTTAGCAGGGTATGTATAAGGAAATTAAAAGGAACACAGGACAGATCAAGGTGTGGAAAAAAAAAGATTGGATATCAGACTGAAAGAAGGGAGTATAAAGGAAGTAAATGTGTTCAGATATTTAGGAGTGGATTTCTTGGCAAGTGGGTCTACGAAAGACAGGACAAGCTATGGAAAAGACGAGGAAAAAGAAAAATGGATGGTACACCTAGGCATCTATGGAGAATTTTATCCATGGAGGAAAGATGGGCAATGTAAAGAGTACAGTGATACCAACACTTGCACGAGTGTGAAGAATGAGCTTTAAACATTACAGCGAGGAGGCTAGACCCAGTGGTTATGTCATGCTTGAGGGTAAAATGTAATGGAAGTATTATGAAGAGGGTGGATATTAGATGAAGGGTCATCTATGTATAATTCAGGTGGCTGAGGAAGGGTTGTTGAAGTGGTTTTGGTAAAGGATGGAACAATAGGATAACTAAGAGCCTAGATAAATATGGGGTAAAAAAGGAAGGGTAGGAGTCATCTCAGGAAGGGGATAAAGGTTTTGAGTGCTAGGGGCTTTAACCCTTTGAGGATTTTGGTCGTACTAGTACGTTTTACGCGTAGGGGTTTTTGACGTACTAGTACTCATAAATTCTAGCGGCCTCAAATCTAGTGGGAGAAAGCTGGTAGGCCTTCATATGAAAGAATGGGTCTATGTGGTCATTGTGCACAGTCTAAAAAAAATCCTGCAGCACACAGTGCATAATGAGAAAAAAAAAACTTTGACCATTTTTTTTTAATAAATCAGCAACTTTGCAGTGTATTTTCGTATGGTATTTATTTTTGTATTCTAGTTTTCTTGGTCTCATTTTATAGAATGGAAGACATATTACAGAAATTGAGATGATTTTGACTGGTTTTACAATGAAAGGTGCCTTGAAATTGAGCTCAAAGTAGCAGAAATGTTCGATTTTTACCAAACTTCAAAAGTAAACAAATCGTGCCAAGCGTGCAATACACGTCAACTGGTGAGTCTAATATTCTTTCACAAGTGCACCAATAATATTTATACCATTTTTTACACTAATGCAGTAGTCTGCATAACAGTAAATCTTATATTTTTTGTGAGAATAAAAATTCAAAGTGGAAAGCAAAAGAATATAAGAGGGCCCTTGAGACGTGACTAATGACTAGAGGAAATGTCATTTTAGTGCCAGGAATGTCTTTCTTGTTTATTCTGGACCCTATTCGGAAATTGGCATCTTTTGAAATTTGTGTGAAATTGGCAAAATTGCTAAATTCTGACCACTGTACTGGATAGTTGAATTTATAAATGGGTGGTTTCTTGCACCCATTCGATAGAAAAAATGGAGTTCTAGCGAAATATTCATGTTTTTTGTCGACTAGTACAGTGAAATTGGCCGAAAATGGGGCTCAAAGTGGGCAAAATCGCCGATGCGTTAACATCGCCGAGACCGCTAACTTTGCGAGAGCATAATTCCCTAAGTTTTCTATCAAATTTCAAACTTTTGGTGTCTTTATGATCGGGAAAAGATTCTCTATCTTTTCATAAGAGAAAATAATTTTTTTTTTTTTTAAATTTGGCCGACCCTGAGAACGAGTTTCGGAGAGGGCCTGTCGACCCTCAAAGGGTTAATATTCATCAGGACTGTGTAAGCATAATAAATCAGGGTGAGGAGACAGGATAGCTCAGATACTTTGGATCAAAGTTAAAGTGGTGGAAGCTTGACTGTCCATCTACTAATTAAAAGACAGGAATGGCACTCTTGCAATCAGTTCTTCCAGCCAGAAAAGGGTACATTATGATATAAAAATTATTTATACAATTACATGAACTTACCGCATCAACAACACTTCTGTAGTTTATAACAATGTAATTATTTACATCAACCTCCTTTTCTTCGAGCTGCTGAATATCATGTTTTTTCTTCAAGAAAATAGCTTCCTTTTCTTGATACAGAACATTATCTTCCATTATGTTACGATTGATTTCTTCCAATAACCTGAAATGTACAAAGCTTTTAATACATTTAGAAACATCATGAATACCATATATTACTGGCCATATTACTGTTGCAGGAACACTGCAACAGGCTTATTGGCCCATACGTGGTACGTCAAGTCTAACCCATGTCACTCAAATATTTGTCCAACCTATTCGTGAAGCTACACAAGGATTACCTCAAACCTAATACCACATACATGTCTAACCTATTTCTAAAGCTCCCTAATGTTTTAGCTCCAATGACCCTTAGTGGCAGATTGTTCCACCATCACAAGAACATAAGAAATGAGGAGGGCTGCAGCAGACTTGCTTGTATAAACCTTGGTAACATACCCACAAACTGGTTTAGAAAGACAAGCCAACACTACAAATTTATTAGAAAACATTTTAGTCCTGGGACCTTAATGATTTTTTTTTCTTTTTATTAATTTTCATTAACACAACGGACATTTCCCACCAAGGCAGGGTGGCCCGAAAAAGAAAAATTGTCACCATCATTCACTCAGAGGTGCGCTTACATTACATTTATAAAACCAACATTAAGGGAGGGGCGAGCCTTTTTCCAGTTTCAGGAAATTAAAATTGAAAAATTATGGAAAAAAATTTTTCTTACTGAAAAGTACAGTGGTCCCCCGCTTTTCGTAGTTCCCGGCAATCGTAAAATTCGCCAATCATAGGGGTATTTTCATATAAACATGGACTCGCTTTTCATAGGTTGACTCCTGAGTCGTAGTTCGTCCGGGACGCGTACGCACGGCGTGGGCCAGGGCGGCAGCCAGTCTGGCATTGTTTACCAGTGAGCGAAGGTCCCCTCGCGTGCTCCAGCGAAATATTTCATAATATTCCATTTATTTTAGTGCTTGCAAGTACTAAATAAGCTACCATGGCTCCAAAGAAAGCTCCTAGTGCCAAGCCTGTGGTAAAGAAGGTGAGAAATACGATTGAATTTAATAAAACCATCATTGAACTATAAGAAAGTAGTACAAGTGTGGCCGAACTGTCCAGGATGTATAAGAAACCCTACACAACCTTATGTTGCCAAGAAAAATGAAATAAAGGATGCTGTTGTTGCAAAGGGAGTAACTATGCTGACAAAAATGAGATCACCAGTACTGGAAGAGGTTGAGAAGTTATTATTGGTGTGGATAAATGAGAAACAATTAGCAGGAGATACTCTTATGACTTCGTTTATTTGTGAAAAGGCTAGGCAGTTGCATGAAGATTTGGTAAAGAAATTGCCTGCAAATAGTGGTGAAGTGAGTGAATTTAAGGCCAGCAAAGGCTTGTTTGAGAGATTTAAGAACCGTACTGGCATACACAGTGTGGTAAGGCATGGTGAGGCTGCCAGTTCGGACCACAAGGTGGCTGAAAAATATGTGCATGAATTCCAGGAGTGCATAGAGGCTGAAGGACTGAAACCTGAACAAGTGTTCAATTGTGACGAAACAGGCCTCTTTTGGAAGAAAATGCCAAAGAGGACCTTCATTACACAAGAAGAAAAACAATGTTATGAAGAGTAAATTGTGTGTGTTTTGGAAATCTAATAATAAGGCATGGGTCACGAGGGAAATTTTCGTCGAGTGGTTCAATGAAGTGTTTGGCCCTAGTGTGAAGGAGTATCTCCTGGAAAAGAAATTGGATCTCAAGTGCGTGCTAGTAATGGACAATGCACCTGCTCATCCTCCAAACTTGGATGACCTAATTTTCGAGGAGTTTGGGTTCATCACAGTAAAGTTCTTGCCCCCGAATACCACTCCTCTCCTCCAACCCAGGGACTAGCAGGTTATTGCAAACTTTAAAAAACTCTACACAAAAGCAATGTTTCACAGGTGCTTGACTGTGACCACAGACACTCACTTGACCCTCACTTGATCCTCCACTGCATAACCCTTATAGGTATGGCTTGGGAGGGAGTGACTACCAGGACTTTGAACTCTGCCTGGAGAAAATTGTGGCCAGATTGTGTCGACAAGAGGGATTTTGAAGGATTTGGGACTGATCCTAATGAGCCTATGTCTGTTGTAAAATCAATTGTGGCACTGGGGAGTTCCATGGGGTTGGATGTGAGTTTGGAGGATGTGGAAGAATTGGTGGAAGACCACAATGAAGAGCTCACCACTGAGGAGCTGCAAGAGCTTCAGCAGGAAGAGCAACACATCGCAGCTCAGAATCTTGCTGCAGAGGAGGAGGAAGAGAGATGGAAGAAGGTGCCTTCTTCAGAAATTAAAGAGATTTTTACTATGTGGGGTAAGATGGAAAGCTTTAAGGAGAAACATCACCCTAACAAGGTTGTTGCAAGCCAGGTTGGCAACATGTACAGTGACAAAGTCTTGGGCCATTTTAGGGAAGTGTTAAAGAGACGCCAGAAACAGAGCTCTCTCCACAGTTATTTTGTGAGACAGGACTCCAGTGACTCTCAAGGTGGTCCTAGTGGCATTAAGAAACAGAGAGGAGAAGCAACCCCAGAAAAGCAAATGGTACCTGAGGTGTTGATGGAAGGGGATTCCCATTCCAAACTATAAACAATCCACTCTCTCTCCTCCTCCAGTCTCCCATACACTAAGAAGAATCTCCAATAAAGGTAAGTGTTATGCTGTTAATGTTTCATTCATCATTTCCCATTGTATTGTTTATGTACTACATGTAAATTTCATGTTAAAAAATTTTTTGTTTTAATACTTTTGGGTGTCAGGAACGGATTAATTGTATTTACATTATTTCTTATGGGGAAAATTGATTCGTAAATCGTAAATTTCCTTTATAGTAACGGCTCCAGGAACGGATTAATTACGAACAACGAGGAACCACTGTAGTACAAAACTGAGGGCCCTGAATCTGCACTCTCTCGAAAAGCGCAGAATTAGGAGGAATATGATCGAAGTGCATAAATGGAAAACAGGAATAAATAAAGGGGATGTAAATAGCGTGCTGAAAATTTCCAGCCAAGACAGGACTTGCAGCAATGGTTTCAAGCTGGAAAAATTCAGATTCAGGAAGGATATAAGAAAGCACTGGTTTGGTAATAGAGTTGTGGATGAGTGGAACAAACTCCCGAGCACAGTTATTCAGGCTAAAACGTTGTGTAGTTTTAAAAATAGGTGAGATAAATACACGAGTGGGTGTGGGTGGGTGTGAGTTGGACCTGACTAGCTTGTGCTACTGGGTCTGGTGCAGTGCTCCATCCTTGAGTGGAGGTGACCAGACTGGGTGGGTCATTGGGCTTATCTGGGGGGAGGGGGGGGACATGGACCTGCTCCACATGGGTCAGTAGGCCTGTTGCAGTGTTCCTTCTTTCTTATGTTAACAAGCAAGGAGGGGTGTAACACGCTCAGATTTGGCGTGCAGTAACCATAGAGTTTCACACCAAACAAAATCAGTAATAAATCAGAAATAAGTTATTGACACTAATCCATCTCCTGCAATTAATATTAATAGGATTGTTATGATTTTTGCAGACGTTATTGAGGAATGATGGTTCTACAAACACCCACAGTGGATTTGTGATACTGTTCACAGCTTTGTTTTTAATTATTTTTTTGTACACAAAAAACAATAAAAACAAAATTACTAACTTCAACTTTTTTTTATGGAATCTACTGACATTATCGCTAAAGTGTTCTGGGTCATTATTAATCTTATTATCTTTCATCTGATGTCAACTAGAGCATTGCACATCTTCCCAATTTAGTAGAAACTGGAAAGTCCTAGGACCCATAAAATTGTGCAAAAATAATTTTTTTCTATCTAACTTGAAGGCTAACAGTCAAAACAAACACAGCCTATGTTTTTTTAAGCTGCTTAATCCATTGTCACAATCCCATTGAAATCTGATAAAAAAAAAAAGTTGGCGATTCTGCTCGCCCCTCCCTTAACACCCTTTCTTCAGAGTGCAGGCACTATACTTCCCATCTCCAGGACTCAAGTCCGTCCTGCTGGTTTCCCTGAATCCCTTCATAAATATTACCCTGCTCACACTCCAACAGCACATCAAGTCCTAAAAACCATTTGTCCCCATTCACTACTAACACACTCACACATGCTTGCAGCAAGTCCACGCTCCTCACACACAAAACCCGCTCCCTCCAACCTTTCCTAGGCCAACCCCTACCCAGCCTTCCCTCCAATACAGATTTATACACTGTCATTCTATTTTGTTCCATCTTCTCTACGTGTCCAACCACCTCAACCCTTCTTCAGCCCTCTAAACAATAGTTTTGGTAATCATGCACCTCCTCCTAATTTCCGAACTACGAATTCTCTGCATTATATTCACACCTCAGACATGACATCCCCACTGCCTCCAGCCTTCTTATTGCAACATTCACTACCCATGCTTCGCACCCATATAAGAGCGTTGGTATAACTATACTTATACATTCTCCTCTTTGCTTTCATGGACAAAGTTCATCTCCACAGATTCCTCAGTGCACCACTCATTTTTTCCCTCGTCAATTCTATGATTCACCTAATCTTTCATAGACCCATCTGCTGACACATCCACTACTAAATATCTGAATACATGCACCTCCTCCATACTCTCTCCAATCTGATAACAAAATAAAATAACGAAAGATTGGGTATCTTATCAGATAACGCTTTCCTATATTCACCTCTAATTTTCTTCTTTTACATACTCTACCAAACTCATCCACTAACCTCAAGCTTATCTTCAGAATCTGTCCCAGGACAGAAACTTTTTCTAATAAATATGTCCTAGTCTTTGCTTTTCTGTCTTCCTAAACCAGTGGGCCTACTGGCCCATGCTTGACAGGTCTCTCAAATTCAACCCTTCTCACTCAAATGCAGTGGACCCTCTGTTTTCGCGATTAATCCGTTCCAGAGAGTGAGGAAAGCTGAAATTCACGATAACCAAAATCATGTAAATCCAATTAATCCATTCCAGATGCCTAACAGTATAAAAAAACTATTTTTTTTGTTTAAGATTATAGATTTACACACAGAAAAGAATTACTAATCAATATAAAGCAATAAAATGTA